TTGTTTTTGAGACAGAGTCTTGCTCTGTCTCCAGGCTGGGGTGCAGTGGTGCGATCTCTGCTCACTGCAGCCTCCACCTCCTGGGTTCAATTGATTCTCATGCCTCAGCCTCTCAGGTAGCTGGGATTACAGGTGTACATCACCACACCCAGCTCATTTTTGTATTTTTAGTAGAGACGGGATTTCACCATGTTGGCCGGGCTGGTCCCAAACTCCTGACCTCCAGTAATCTACCCACCTCAGCCTCCCAAAGTGCTAGGATTACAGATGTAAGCCGCCACACCCAACCTATAACCACTTTTTAATACAATGAATCAAAATATTTGTACTTTAACATATTTTAAAACTGTTGGAATTCATCTGAATGGACTGAGTCTAGTTCTGCAAATTTGGAATGTATCCTGGTGTCATCTGAGGTCTTCCGGTACTTTAAAGTCGATATAGTATTGCCTGGAACTTCCATTCTACACCTGGGGGGTTATGAAGCACTTCCCAAGATTCTTGCAAATTCTTGGAAGGCTTACGGCTCTGAGTTCTCATTTCTCTGAAAGATTCAGTGGGTGGATCATCCTGCCATTCCCCGCTTGCTTTTCCTGCTCTCTGCTGCACCTTCAGACACAGCTCATCACCTAACTTAGTCTTCAACCCCTGACTCAACACAGACACCCCAAAGTCACCATCCCCCCAGTGTTTGTGTGCCTAGCACACCCCTGATAGAGGAGAGGTTAGAACAAGTAATACAAACGATTTGGAAGCACATAGGAAACACAACAGTTAATTGAAGGACTTTTGATCACCACCTCATTGGGAAATTTCATGACTGTTCTCATATGGCATCCCCCTGTGCCTGTACCCTCACTTGTCTCGGCTTGTCATCTCCTTCCAGATGGCTCTAAATTGTTCCTACCAAGTAATATAGAGCAATTCTGCTTTGTTTTTTTTGGTTGTGGTTTTGGTTTTTTTTTGAGATGGGATCTGGCTCTGTCACCCAGGCTGGAGTGTAGTGGCACAATCTTGGCTCACTGTAGCCTCTGTCTCCGAGGCTCAAACGATTCTCCTGCCTCAGCCTCTCGAGTACGTGGGATTACAGGCACATGCCACCATGCCTGGCTAATTTTTGTATTTTTAATAGCGATGGGGTTTCACCATGTTGGCCAGGATGGTCTCAAACTCCTGACATCAAGTGATCTGCCCACCTCAGCCTCCTAAAGTGCTGGGATTACAGGCAAGAGCCACTGTGCCCACCCCAGTTCTGCTCTCTTGAGTCCCTACTCCCAAAATCAATTCTAGATCTTCCTTTTGCATCTCAAAAACAAACCAAAAAAGCCTTTAATTTCACTGGACCTACATTTCTAGAAGCTGTTATTATTAATAGCAATTAATTCTCCTCTTACATCTGCATAAACTTTAATTCCTTTGAAAAGCCATTTCTGAGATAAAAGCCTGTATCTGTGTCTGTACCTACATCCCTGTGTCTGGTAAAAGGGCAGCTGCTTGTCTGGATTGAAGTGCGTGGTCTTTGACTCTGGGGTGGGTCACACTCACGTGTACCCAGTGTTCTGCAGTGGTTCTCAATTTCCGGCTTCTTAACTCTTAAACTGTTCAACCTGACATTCAAGGGGTTCCTTCCCTCCACTGCCCCATGTTTTGAACCTCATTTTCCAAAGCTTTTCTCTCATGTGGTCTCGTCTGTACCTAGACTGTGTTTTGCAAAATGTGGTTGAGCATAGAAACCATAATCGACTGACTTATGGGTCCCTGAAAGATGGGTCTGAGGTGTTTCTCAGACATTTTTATTTGTTTATTTTTATGTATTTGTTTGTTTATTTATGAGACTGAGTTTCACTCTTTTCGCCCAGGCTGCAGTGCAGTGGCACAATCTTGGCTCATTGCAACCTCCACCTCCCCAGTTCAAGCGATTCTCTTGTCTCAGCCTCCCAAGTACCTGGGATTACAGGCACCCGCCACCACACCTGACTAATTATTGTATTTTTAGTAGAGACGGGGTTTCACCATGTTAGCCCGGCTGGTCTCGAACTCCTGACCTCAGTTGATCCTGCCTGGGCCTCCCAAAGTGCTGGGATTACAGGTGTGAGCTACCACGCCCGGCCTCAGGCACTTTTAGACTCAGTAAAGACAGTGAGGTGATAGTTTCTTTGTTTGCTCCCCTAGTACCTCCCAGGATGTAATAGATTTTCTATACCATTATCAACGATTTCCTCGGATTCATTTATTCCACAAATTCATTCATTCAACATTCATCCTCTGCTGTGGGCTAAGACCTTGGTGCTACAGCAGCAAACAAGACAGGGGTCTTGCCCTCCTAAAGTTTCTTTCTAGTCAGGATGAGGGGTGGCTGAATTTTTTAGTGCCAAAGGTATGTCGTTGACACCAAAACAACTGCATTCTAGTCTCAAAACTAGAGCAAACTCATGTTAGGATTGAATGCTGTAGCAGAAACAAGGAGGCCTTTTACCTACTGACATTTCCTTCATCTCCGCAGCCAGTCACCCATTCTACCCACCACACACCTGTTCTCTGTCACAGTGATTTGAGTGTGGGTGCTATGAGACCTTTCTTCTTCAGAACAATTCTGTCTGCAAGGAAAAATAGTGTTCTTAGACTTTAAAATGATAGCCCTAACTTGAATTTCCTCTGCACTCCTCATGAGGTGACCAGACCGGCTTACATATATGTGATGAGGACAAAAGTCAAAAGACAAAGTATTTCAGCGTGTCTCATTTGAAATATAAATGTAAAAATGTAGGCCAAGCATGGTGGCTCACACCTGTAATCCTAGCACTTTGGGAGGCTGAGGTGGGTGAGGTAAGAGTTCAAGAGCAGCCTAGCCAACGTGGAGAAACCTCTTCTCTACTAAAAATATAAAATTAGCTGGGCATGGTGACACATGCCTGTAATTCCAGCTACTCGGGAGGCTGAGGCAGGAGAATCGCTAGAACCTGGGAGGCAGAGGTTGCAGTGAGCCAAGATCACACCATTGCACTCTAGCCTAGGCAACAAGAGGGAAACTCCATCTCAAAAAAAAAAAAAAAAAAAGATAAATGATGCCTCACCATTCATTATTTGAGTAAAATGCCACCCCAAATGTTGTGACTAAACTTTCCAGTTGTAACAGTTCTTGGCTATAATATGCTCATTTTGTGATGGAAAGCTCCAGCAAAAGCAGCAAGAAAAATAGAGTTAATACAATGACAGGCAGGGCACAGTGGCTCGTTTGTGCCTATAGTCTCAGCACTTTGGGAGGCCGAGGCAAGGGGGTGGCTTGAGCTCAAGAGTTTGAGACCAGCCTGGTCAACGTGAAACCCTACCTCTTCTTTAAAAATAAAAATAAAAAAATTGACTGGATATGGTGGTATGTGCCTGTAGTCTTAGCTACTTGGGAGGCTGAGGTGGGAGGATTGCTTGAGCCAAGGAGGCAGAGGTTGCAGTAAGCCGAGATTGCCCCACTGCACTCCAGGCTGGGTGGCAGAGGGAGGCTCCAGTCTAAAAAAATAAAAACAGTTAATATCGTAACAATGAAGGTCATTTACTGAGAAACTCAAGCAAAGGGATTCACTTCTCTACAAGCATTCAGCATCTCAATAAGTGAATAAACACTCTCGCGTGCGCACAAACACACACAATATTATCAGAAGCAGTTTATTCTAAACATTATTTTTCTAGGTTATTCACTTAACTCACCTCTGAGATTTATAGTTCAACAGATACCAGCTCAGAGTGGAAAGAAAAAAAGGCCTTTTATCTAATCCAATTCCTTAGGAAAAAATACTTAGGCAATATTAAGAATCTTCAATTATCTAATTTAATAAAAGGGATGATTTATATTCTGTAGTTAGTAACATGATACTGATGATTTCTAATCCCTTAGAAGAGATCTGACACTACGCTTTTGGTCCTGTGTAGCATGAAATCATCATGTATATTTTACCAAAAGAAGTAACAAGAATAATGGCCTCTGCAGTCTGAAATCATTTTATATGAACACACTGCAACATGGTTTTGCCCTGGGGCAGAGAAGTAGAGATTTTTCTCTACTTCAAAAGAATGAAAAATTATCATCACTCTATCCAGAACCATTATAGACTTCAGAGACTTTGGCATGAAATATTCAGAAAGTTTATTTTAGAATTCAATATTTTAAAAGCCTGCTTTAAAACTATTACAGTGATTAGTGACTCTCTTGCTTGGGCCAGTCTTTGCTTTAAAAAGTCCTATGTCATGGTTGATATGAATTTGATGTTTGAACAAAATATAATGGGCATCACCCGCAGAAGCTATGTGTAAGGCCTTGTTTTAGAATGCCCCCCAAAGAGGAGTTGAGACCACTTTTCATCAGTTATGCCTTCAAACACACTTTTTTTTTTTTTTTTAATTGAGATGGAGTCTCTCTGTTGCTCAGGCTGGAGTGCAATGGTGTGATCTTGGCTAACTGCAACCTCTGCCTCCCGGTTTAAGCGGTTCTCCTGCTTCAGCCTCCCAAGTAGCTGGGATTACAGGCACCCGCCACCACATCTGGCTAATTTTTGTATTTTTAGTAGAGGCGGGGTTTCCCCATATTGGCCAGGCTGTCTGGAACTCTTTACCTCAGGTGATCCGCCCGCCTCAGCCTCGCAAAGTGCTGTGATTACAGGAGTGAGCCACCATATCTGGCCTGCATATGTTTTTGATATATCACAGAAAGATATATGTAGGATAACTAGAAAGAGCTGTTTCTTTTTTTTCTTATATATCTGTGCATTTGGCTTCATCCCTTTAAATATGCAGAATATATTATTTCTGTAGGTTTTAATAAATGCCCTTTCTTTCCTGCAAACCTTTATTATCAATGAAAAAAAGTAGGCATCAATCTCAGCCTTCAAGTAGATAAAATAGGTTCCTCTCTCACACAGCCATACAAAGAAATAAAGATCCTAATGTGCTCTTGATACACAGGTGTTAACAAGAGTAATGTATAAATGACTTTTTGTTTTATTTTCCAGGGAAGTAGATCGAGACTCAGATGGTCACGTCAGCTTTAGAGACTTTGAATATGCCATGAACTATGGCCAGAAGGAAGCCTAACTATTGTGAACTACTTTTGGCAACTCTGGGGAGATCAATAGATTATAATGTCAGGAGACTCTGCTCTACTCTGCTAATGATGTCATGCTACAGACTTGTAATTCGACTTCAAAAAATTTTTTAATTTTGTGGGTATGTAGTAGGTGTATATGTGTGCACACACACACACATACGGGTTACAGGAGATACTTTGGCACAGGCATGTAATAAGTAATGGACTAAACTTTTAATCATCATTTTTGGATGTTGATGATGGACTTGTATCTCAGAATCCTGGAGGTGGTTGCTGCCAGGGTCGTCTTCTGTGTGGCCAACAGCCCTGAGTCAGGTGTCTGTTGCAAGAGCTGGGGCTGGTGCTGGCACTGGTGGTCCCCTTCCTCTTCACTCTTCTCTCCCGCAGCCTCTCCACGCTGCAGGCCAGGGTGCCCCATTCACTTACCTCATTGTCCTCACCATCCCACCTTGGGTCCCTGAATCTCATCAGCTCCTGATATCTGCAGAGGGGCTGCCTTTCCTGCCAGTGGCGCCAGTTTCCTTCATTGGCTCAACATTGGTTGAACAAATAATAGCACCTACACATACTGAGTACTTACTATGTTCCAAGCAGTGAGCCAGGCCTTGGGAAGCACAGGCTTAAGACTTCTCTAAAATAGGCTCATGCCTATAATCTCAGCGCTTCGGGAGGCCAAAGCAGGAGGATCACTTGAGCCTAGGAATTGGAGACCAGCCTGGGCAATATACCAAGACCCCATCTCTACCAAAAAAAAAGAAGTTATCTGGATTTGGTGGTGTACACCTATAGTCCCAGCTACTTGGGAGGCTGAGGTGGGAAGTTCACTTGAGCTGAGGGGTTTGAAGCTTCCGTGAGCCATGATTACACTATTGCACTCCAGCCTGGGTGACAGAGCAAGACCCTGTCTCTTAAAAACAACTTTCAATTAAAAAATAATAAAGACTTCTCTAAGATAATGTCCCTGAGTCCAAATCATCACTGTAAAGTGGCTCCAGGGTCCTGTGTGTGCAAGACAAAGAAACTGGATTGGGCTAACACAAGCAAGCCATCTCGGGCTGTATACAGAGGAAGAACAGAGTGGTAAGAGTACTGGGGGCAAGAGACATGTTTGCAGAACCCTTTAGGATGGCTTAGGCTCGGGAGTCTCACTGCAGAGGAGCAAGCCTTGAGCTGCTCGGCTGCCCTCTACTGCACACGCCCTGGTTCCCAGCAGTCGTGTCCTGCATTCGGAGCCTCAGCCATGTGTATTCACATTCCCCGTGCCTTGCCTGTCCTGCTGGGCTCCAGTAACTGCTATACTGGAGCAATGAATAACAGTGCTGGACATTCAGCATTTACTTAAGGCAATTCCAAAATACTGGTATCAATACTCTTATTTATAAGTGTTCAGAATGCATAACATGAACATTAGTCAAACAACTTTTAATATAATTCACTTTTTAAGTATTAACATTTAAAAGTCAAGTAAAATTGTATTTGTAATATACAAATATTAAGCAGTCATTATCAAATTATTAGCAGATAACCTCAATAAAAATAAATGTTTGTGGGGTTTCATTTTTTTTTTTTGAGACAGAGTCTCACTCTGTCACCCAGGCTAGAGTACAGTGGTGTGATCTTAGCTCACTGCAACCTCCGCCTCCCGGGTTCAAGTGATTCTCCTGCCTCAGCGTCCCAAGTAGCTGGGACCACAGGCACACGCTACCACGCCCGCCTAATTTTTGTATTTTTTGTAGAGATGGGGTGTCACCATGTTGGCCAGGCTGGTCTTGAACTCTTGACCTCAAGTGATTCATCCACCTTGGCCCCTCAAAGTGCTGGGATTACAGGCATGAGCCACCACATCTGGCCAATAAAAATAAAGTTTTACACTGTCAAATAAGACGAGCCTAAGAAGATGTGACAACTAAATATCATTTGGTATCCTGGATGAGATCATGGAATAAAAAATAGACATTAAGTAGAAACAAATTAAGTATGGACTTTAATAATAATAATAATGTATCACTATTGGTTCATTAATTGGGATAATGTATTATACTCATATATAATGTCAGTAGTTGAGGAAATTGGGTGAGGTATATGGGACCCCACTACTATTTTCACAATTTTTCTATAAATCTAAAACTGTTCCAAAATTTAAAGTTTGTTTAAAAACTAAAGTCTTATTCAAAACCTAAAAAACTAAACTTTATCTAAAATGAAGCAAACAGTGAAAATCAAGTAAAAGTACAATCTTATTCTAAAAACAAAGTGGGTCGATGGGATCATTGAGTAGCTTTTGCGTTTGTGTACGAATTGTTCTAGTTGATGAAAAGCCCTTTCTGATTTTGGGTAGAGTTTTGTTCAGCAAGCATGTTCATCATAAGTTGAATAATTGGGTCATTGATCCTGATCTCAGAGCATAAATGATGCATACTTCAGATTTTTTAAAATATCAAAATTAGAGTAATACATGAGCAAAGCAGCATTATTCAGTAATTTCCAGAATGCCAAACCCTCTTATTGCAGTCACTGTTTGGACCTCATTTCTCCCGGGAAACATGACAAGGGAAAGGGAGGGACTGTTTCCTACAGTTGATGTGGCAGCCAAGAGGCCAAGCTGGGGATAGCTCTTGGGCAACACCCTTGACCCTCAACTAGTCAGGGCTCTTGTTTGTCTCAATGACAAAACCACCCAAACTAGCTTAGCTGACAAGAGAATGTACTGGAAAACACTGGGCTGTCTGAGAGAACTAACATAGAGACAGCAGTGGTGCAGTGGGGTTTCCAGGATAACCAATAATACCAGCACCTTCAGACTCTGCCTGTCTCCCGTAGTCACGGACAGCCTCACAGCATCCTGAAAAGGAATCGGCTCATGATCCATCCAGTTCCAAGTCTAGAGACCCCACGTAGAGGTTCTGGTTGGCACACTGGAGCAGTCAACTCTGGTTCACCCAGTGTGTATGGACATGGCCACGGGGGACTCGCTCAGGTGTACCCAGGGCTGGTCGCAGAGAGGGGAAGTTTATAAGATCTGGGCAGCCATCCCATTTTCTTTCTTAGAAGAAAACCGTATGCCTGTCTAGGTGCAAACTACAGGAGGGAGAGTGTGCTTCAGATTTGCTACTGAGGAGGATCCAGGCTCTGAGCGACTAGAGAGAAAATGAGAAACCACTCCTGTCACCTTCTCCTTCTTTTCACTTGCCGTGGGCCCAAGCCAAATCCTCATCCCATGAGCTTTTTCCCCAGCTTCTCTCTTCCAGGTCGTAGTCCTCGTCCTTGTCCCCAAACCACATGCTACTGTCTGTGCAGAGTGATTTTGTTGATCTGATTTCAGTTGAGTGGCCCAAGGGTGGCCATCTATCGACCCACTCGATCTCGTCCCTTGGAGAACATCAAGAGTGGGCATGAGCAAGAGACAGCAGTGCTCCTCTGAGGGGCTGAGTGTGTCTGACTCAGGGGTAAGTGGCAGACATGTTTCCTACCACGTGGCCTGGAAACCCAAGGCAGCTAGCTGGCATTGAGAGCAGAGAAAAAAGAAAAAGACACCAGGAGGGGAACAAGGAAGGAGACAAGAAGCCCAGTGGTGCTTGACTTCTGGTTAAAGCTTGTGTACAAAGCCCAGTCGTCGTCCTCTGGGTCCTGTGAGGTAACCCTGTATCCTCCCAATAAATCTTTCTGCTCAAGCCAGCTGGAGTTGCTTTCCGTTATTTGAAACCAAGAGAACCCTGTTGTAAGCACTGAGCCAAGGACAGAGTCTTGGGCAACATTAACATTTACTAGGACAGCGGAGAAAAGTCTTCTAACGAGACTAAGAAGCAGTTGAAGGTGGAAGCACAGGCTGTTGTCCCTTCTCTCTACGATTCCCCTGCCCCCACTTGCCCTTTCCCTGTAACCCAGCTCCGTCTTCCCTGTGGCAGCAGCTCTCAGAGGTCACCAGTGAGGTGCTAATGAATGGCCAAACCCACCAGCCCGTCTCAAGCCTCATCGTGTTTGTCCTTTCTCCTGATTCTGCCCTGACAGCTGCACCTTTGAAATCCTTCCCTTTCAGTTTCCATGACATGGGTCTCTCCTGGCATTTCTGTGCCCATTTTTTCCCCCCTTCTGTCTTTTCCTGCTTCCTCCCCTACAACCACCCCGTGAGTATTAGCATTTTCCAAGGCCCTGTATTTGGCCGATCTTCTTGATCCACACATTCTCCAAGGATGAGTTCATCACCACCAAGATTTCAGCTATCATCTTTATGGGTATGACTCTACAAACAAATCTTTATCTTGACCTCGTCTCAACTCCAGACGTGCGTTTTCATTTGCCTTTCGGACTGCCATGCACACTCATTGCATTAAAATCAGACTCATTGTTCCCCTCATTTTCAAAACCGTTTTCCCATTCTGCATTTCTATTTGTTTTTCCTAGCCACCGCCCCATCCCCCACCCAGAGCTGTCATCCAAGCCAGCTGCCACGGAATTCTTTACAAGTCTTCCCCCATCTTCCTTAGCTCCTCATCCACACACTTGCCGAATCCTTTTGAGCCTGGCTCTGTAAGCCTTTCACAGCATTCTCTTCCATTCCCTCCTGATCATTCTGCCCTTGTCCATATTCCCCCTTCAATCCTTCCACCAAGTCATTTGCTCTTCGACTCATTCCTATAAAGATGAGTAAAAGATGTGTGAGTAGGAGGCAAACCCTACCATCAACAAATTTTAGTCTAGCATATCAGTTATCTTCCCAAAGCACAGACAAGATTACTTTGTCTCTGCTCAAAAGCCTTCAGTACCCTTCTTTTCTATTGGATAATAGCTAAACCTGTCATATGCCATTTAAAGCCCTCCATAATCGGCTAGCAATTTATATTTCAGTCCCATTGTTCACAACTACCTCTACCATACCACCCCACAACCAGGTAAACTCACACGCACAATCCCCTCTCCTAAATACACCAAAAACAAGACATCTTTGCCCAAAATAGAAGAGTAACAAATACTCTTGGAATTAATATCTGACAAGATAATAGGAAAATGCAACCATAATAAAAGTCATTTTGAAAAATATCCAGGACCATCTTCATCATAATGAGTATTTTTTCCTTTATCACCTTGGGAAGGGGGACTAGTTATGCTAGGTATTTTGTATATTTGTTTTATTTTTAAAATTATCGAGATCGATTATTAGTCATCCTATTTTCTTCATTTTATAAATGACGAGACAGTTCCAGAAAGTCTAAGTAACTTGATTCCAGCTAAGTAATGGTGATGGGGGAAGAGCGTTGGGGTGTTCATTCAAACATGTCAGCCTGATGGAAAACATATACCTTTCCTACGACGCTACATTATTACCTCCAGCGGGAAAACAATCTATGACACTGATTCATATTCTATGGTCATACTTCATTTTCAACCTCAGATGAATTTACCCAGATTCACTGGACAATGCAAGTCAAGCCTCTAGCACATAGTATGTATTGAAATTTAATTTCCAGGCTGGGGGCAGTGGCTCACACCTGTAATCCCAGCACTTTGGGAGGCTGAGGTGGGTGGATCACCAGAGGTCAGGAGTTCAAGACAAGTTTGGCCAACATGGTAAAACCTAATCTCTATTAAAAATATAAAAATTGGCCGGGCGCGGTGGCTCAAGCCTGTAATCCCAGCACTTTGGGAGGCCGAGGCGGGTGGATCACAAGGTCGAAAGATCGAGACCATCCTGGTCAACATGGTGAAACCCCGTCTCTACTAAAAATACAAAAAAATTAGCTGGGCATGGTGGCACATGCCTGTAATCCCAGCTACTCAGGAGGCTGAGGCAGGAGAATTGCCTGAGCCCAGGAGGCGGAGGTTGCGGTGAGCCGAGATCGCGCCATTGCACTCCAGCCTGGGTAACAAGAGCGAAAACTCCGTCTCAAAAAAAAAAAAAAAAAAAAAAAAAATATAAAAATTAGGGGCCAGGTGCGGTGGCTCAAGCCTGTAATCCCAGCACTTTGGGAGGCCGAGGCGGGTGGATCACAAGGTCAAGAGATCGAGACCATCCTGGTCAACATGGTGAAACCCCGTCTCTACTAAAAATACAAAAAATTAGCTGGGCATGGTGGCACGTGCCTGTAATCCCAGCTACTCAGGAGGCTGAAGCAGGAGAATTGCCTGAATCCAGGAGGCGGAGGTTGCGGTGAGCCGAGATCGTGCCATTGCGCTCCAGCTTGGGTAACAAGAGCGAAACTCCATCTCAAAAAAAAAAAAAAAAAAAAAATTAGCCAGGTGTGGTGGTGCATGCATGTAATCCCAGCTACTCGGGAGGCTGAGGCAAGAGAATCACTTGAACCCAGGAGACGGAGATTGCAGTGAGCCCAGATCACACAACTGCACTCCAGCCTGGGCAACCGAGCGAGACTCCGTCTCAAAAAAAAGATTTTTTCCCCCATCTTCTGCATCACCAAACTTAACCAAACTTACTTTGGGTTATGAAACCTACTTTCAAAAGACAAAGATTAAAATGTGCTGCAAGATCTAAAGGCAGTATTCAAAGAGGAGTTTCAGAAATGCTGTGAACAATTGAAGCATCTTTGAAACAGGTGTGCGTTCCCACTGGGCACTGCTCATTTATGTATATAAATTCTAAACAGTGTATACCAAATACTTGGTATTCACACTTCACTTACAGAATTGTAATTCAGGATTAATAAAAATGAACTGTTGGCTACTTTCCTTTTTGTAGCTTATAACTTTTGAGAAATTTGTTTGGAACTGCAGAACTAGGCAGTTAAAAAATTCATATACACACACAAATTGAAATTCAATGACATTAGGAATAGCAGCTCACAAAGTAACCTTTCTTCCAAAACAGACTTAAATTGGATTGGCCACATGGATTGAAAAGTAGCTTAAAACAATTTAACATAATAAAATATAGAGTGTCCAATAGAAATGTTTATTGGATTATTAAGCTGATGAAATACTCAGAAATGTGAATAAAAAAGAAATTAT